TGTCTCCATCAACTCAGACACTGGAGTCCTGTATGCGTTGCGATCCTTCGACTATGAGCAGTTCCGTGACCTGCAATTGAGAGTGACTGCAAGTGACAGCGGGGACCCGCCGCTCAGCAGCAACGTGTCACTGGACATATTCGTGCTGGACCAGAACGACAACACACCTGAGATTCTGTACCCCGCCCTCCCCACTGACGGTTCCACCGGTGTGGAGCTAGCACCCCGCTCCGCAGAGCCTGGCTACCTGGTGACCAAGGTGGTGGCTGTGGACAGAGACTCGGGCCAGAACGCCTGGCTGTCCTACCACCTGCTCAAGGCCAGCGAGCCAGGGCTCTTCGCGGTGGGGCTGCACACGGGCGAGGTGCGCACAGCGCGGGCCCTGCTGGACAGAGACGCGCTCAAGCAGAGCCTGGTGGTGGCCGTCCAGGACCACGGCCAGCCCCCTCTCTCGGCCACTGTCACGTTCACAGTGGCGATGGCTGACAGCATCCCAGATGTGCTGGCCGACTTGGGCAGCATGGAACCCTTCACCAACCTGGACAACTCCAGCCTCACGCTGTACCTGGTGGTGGCGGTGGCCGCGGTGTCCTGCGTCTTCCTCGCCTTTGTCATTGTGCTGCTGGCGCTCAGACTGTGGCGCTGGCATAGGACGCGTGTGCTCCAGGCTTCAGGAGGAGGATTGACGGGCGTGCCCGTCTCTCACTTTGTGGGCGTAGACGGGGTGCGGGCTTTCCTGCAGACCTATTCCCACGAGGTCTCGCTCACCGCGGATTCGCAGGTGAGTCAAGTGACCTTCCCGCAGCCCAACTACGCTGACACGCTCATCAGCCAGGAGAGCTGTGAGAAAAAGGATTTTCTATCAGCACCCCAGTCTTTACTTGAAGACAGAAAGCAAACATTTTCTCAGGTAAACTTTGTGTAGTAAATTTATCTAGGTAAAAATAATTCCTGAGTTTACTTACTTGCTTCCATTCTTTACTACTAACAGTTCTCTATTTCCCATATATCATTGTAGCTTTCTATTTACAAATCCTGGGAAATCATTAAATGTTTATATCCGAGTATATTTATCATTGTTCTTTCATTAGAACAAAGAGTTCTAATGAAAAGAGTTGTGGAAAGAGCACTGCATTAGAAACAAGGAGATTTGGCTTCTAAAGTTTTCTTGCTTGCTTCTGGCCAAATAATTTTATTTGTCTGGATTTACCATTCTCTTATCTAGCAAGGATTGGGTGTTACTAGAAAAGGTCCACCAATATTAATGTGACTAATGCTGTTTTCAAATATCCTTAAGTTATAAATATCTCCTAATTTATCCTTAAATTTAATGTAGATGTCATCTGTCGGGGCGCTGTTTTATTTGGGGACATTTGAAAAGGTAAAGATTGTCTAAAGTAGTATTTTTAAGTTGTGTTAATATAAAATTATGGAAATCTAGGTAAGCTGCAAATTTAAACTTTCTTAGCCTTTTGTTTAGTCATTTATTTTGACATGTTTTATGCACGCTCAAGAATGCATCAGCTGTTTAAGTAACATGAAATTAAGTAATAAGATGAATGACAGAAAATTTTCTGTGCAACTTGAGAAATAGTTTGAAACCTCGTGATTTGTATATTATGCCTGTAATGTAAACAACTAACAGAAATCAAGTATATATTCCATTTTAATGTGTGTAAGCTCTTCACAAGAAATGCATCATAGGGGAGTAAATCTATGCTTTGATATACTTACTCTGCTCCAATAAATTAAAGATACATGTATAAAATAAAAAAAAGAAAGCAGAAGCATAGTCAGGCACAAATAAAAGATAGATAGCTAAATGGACCGAAGATGGGACAGAAAGTGGTGAGCCAGGCTAAAACTAAAGTGGGAATTCTAGTCTTGTACTTAGATGAGATTGTTCAAGCAGTGTAATAGGGACAAAAGGGCTTCGGGCTAAACAAGGGACCTGAGCCAGGCTTACTGCTTGCATCCAAAATAAGCAGTTAGGCCCCTTAGCTAGTTAAAAAGGGGGAAAATCACATAAAAACTTACCTACCAGTTCCCATGGTCGTAACTTGTTGCAAGCTAAAGACCAAGGGAGTAAGGTGGACACAGATGCTGGCTTCAGAAAATGAACACTAAGTCTCTCAGACCTGAGCTGTGATATTCAGAATACCACTGCCGCATACCATTAAAGTGCCATTAAAATACCTAGTTATGGTCTGGGACCTGGAGAATTCTGGAACTTCCTTTTGCTAGTGAGAATTTCCTGCCAACAAATTATTATTTTTTAGGTAATCTTTATTTTCTCTGATGGCTTTAAAAAAAATTCTCTCATTCTTGCTGTATGTCTAAGTGTGGATTTTTATTTTTATTTTCTGTTTGGTACCAAGAGTATACTCTCAATACCATAAGTTGTTACAATTTAAAATTTTCTCAACTCTTATAATTTAAAACTTTGCTTCTGTGTATATATAAATGACCTTTTAACCTATTGAAACACCAAGATTGCCAAGTTGGTTGACTTTTTAAATCCATCTATTCTGCTGACAAGATACGTGCTTAAAATAAAATTATACTGAAATACTGAAGATAAAGATGTCGATAGATATGCACACACACCCTACACACAAGAAAGCAGTCATGTCAATTTAATATATCACCAAAGTAGTGTTTAAGGCAACAACATTAGTGGTGATTTTTTTTAATGAACTGATCATACTTATAAAAAGAACAGACAACCAAAAGGATATAAAAATCATGAGCTCCTATTACCAAACAATATAGCTTTGAAAATAATACAGATTATTTTCAAATCTGAAATTTAAAAGAGATTTTAACACAGTTCCATAAGAAATAATACATCACACAGGCAGAAAATTACTAAGCACACAGCATATTTGAATAACAGTATAGCTTTGGAAATAATACAGATTTTCAAATCTGAAATTTGAAAGAGATTTTAACACAGTTCCATAAGAAATAATACATCACACAGGCAGAATATTACTAAGCACCAGCATATTTGAATAACAGAATCTATAAGCTTGATCTGACAGATTTGTTGGGTATTTGTATACACAACAAATATAGAATAGCCAATTTTTACATGAACATATGGAAAATCTACAACAATTTACTACATAGTCATCACAAAAATGGTAGAGCAAATTTCAAAGTACAAATAGTATACATGCCTTATGTAGTTAAATCACAAAGTGGCTGGTGAGGAAAATAGGGAGGGATTAGTAAAAGGGTACAAACCTTCAGCTGTAAGAGGAATAAGGCCTTAGGACCTAATGTATAGCGTGAGACTACAATTGACAACACTGTATTGTATAATAGAAAGTTGCTAAGAGTAGAACCTGATGCTCTCACACACACACAAAAAGGTAAATACGTGAGGCGGTGGATGTGTTAATTAGCTCAGTAGAGGAATCCTTTCACAATGTATACATATATCAAATCATCATGTTGTACACTTTAAATATCTTACAATTTTATTTGTCAATTATACCTCAATAAAGCTGGAAAAGTCACAAAGCAAACATTCTAAAATAGTAAAAGGAAACAGAAAAGTTGGGACATTTAAATCTACAACCCTGAATTACTCTTGGATTTAAAAAATCACAATGAAATAAAAACTACAAGAATTAAAATATTACTTATTAAAAATTGTGGAATACAGAGAAAAGAATATTTAGGGGTAAATCTGTAGACAACTATAAGAATTTCAAAAAGCAAATGATTTAAAACAAGTGAGTTTAGCTTGCCACTCAAGAAACAGAGCAAGAAAGATATAATATTAGCATAAATTTAAATAAAATAATAGGAAAAGTAACAAAAAGTATAAATTATTGAAATGCAAACAAAGAAGAATTATGATGATGAAGCAATAGAAGCCGACACCAGTGGGGAGAAAATGAAACTACTGTCAAGTCCAGTGCTGGGACTAATATTGGCTACTCAGATGGCATGACTAAAATTGTTTTAGAGATCTTAAAAGAAAACCCCAAATTCTGATTATAGACAAAGACCTGGAAAAGAGAAAGGGAAGGAAAAGCAAGTAAGACTAGGAAAAAATAAGACAGCTTAATACGAAGCAAGAAACATGAGTGGGAAATAATATCCAGAGTAAAACCAGATGTTGTCAAAGACAAAGAAACAGAAATCTTTAGAGAACTACAATAAGGGATGTCGAGCAGTTATTTAATGAGACTCAAAAGTATCAAAACAATGTTGCAGAAAAAGTTTTAAAAAACAAACTAGAGGCTCTACTAGAAAACATGGTGAGTTAATAATATCAATTGTTTCCAATAAATATTTCATCAGGGTTCTCAGAGGAATGGGTTAAAAATGAAAAAAGTTCAATGGGGAAGAAGCCAAAAGGCAAAAAGACTGAAATGAGACCAGAAGTGTGCAATCTCGCTCAAGAATGTTGATTCAAAATCCTATCTACTATATATGTAATATTTATAGCTTACGACTAAATGGGGTTTATTACTTAGGGATGCAAGAATATTTCAATATAAGAAAATCTAATAATATAAAACTTCATATTAGGGGATTGAAGATAAAAAGCCATATGTTCATTTCAACAGAGGCATAATAAAGGTCTTGAGAACATTCAACACATGATTAAAATCTTTTAGCAAACTGGAAATTGAACGAAACGTCCTTAACCTGATAAAGAGTATCTATCAAAAACTTATAGAGCTACCCAAAGCAATCTACAGATTCAGTGCAATCCCTATCAAAATCCCAATGCCTTTTTTTGTATAAATAGAAAAAAATCCATCCTAAAATTCATATGGAGTGTCAGGGGACCTCAAGTAGCCCTAACAATCTTTTTTTTTTTTTTTTTTTTGCGGTACGCGGGCCTCTCACTGCTGTGGCCTCTCCCGTTGCGGAGCACAGGCTCTGGACGCGCAGGCTCAGCGGCCATGGCTCACGGGCCCAGCTGCTTCGCGGCATGTGGGATCCTCCCGGACCGGAACACGAACCCGCGTCCCCTGCATCGGCCAGCGGACTCTCAACCACTGCGCCACCAGGGAAGTCCAGCCCTAACAATCTTGAAAAGAACAAGGAACAAACCACCTTCAGTTTCCTTAATGTTCATGCTGCCTCTCGCCTCCAAGAATTTGTACTAAGGTTCTAAAACACTACTGCAGCCTCTTTCTTGATCCAGTCATACCTTTTAGGATCCAGCTTCAATCTTGTCCTGGAAAAGTCTTTCCTGACCCCCAAATCTAGGCTGGATACCCTTCCTATGTATTCTCCCGTTGCCCAGGGTTTCCAACCATCATAGCAGTTACCATACTCTATTAAAATACTCTGTGTACTTTACTATGTCCTCCCTTATCCTGTAGGCTTCCTGAGAACAGGGACTGTGTTCATCAGGTGCACCATTTCTATCTCCAGCATCAATCAGGCAAAGTGTCAGGCCTTAATTGGGTAGTCACCCAATTAAATGTCCGAAAATTCAATAATTTAAATACAGATTTTGGGGGGAAAAATACAGGTTTTGAAGTTCAATACTAAGCCATTAAGCACAGAAATTTAAAATATATAACATTAGAATATAATGTAGCTAATATTTTTAGATTAATCTTATTGTTTCTGAATATAAAATAAGAGGTTGAAGATGTTTGGCATAAGGGCAGAGGCTGCCTTGATTAATGCCTCCAGCGTTCAATGATACTTTCCTTGCAACTACTATCAAGGTCACATTCATTCACACCATTCTTATTCATTCTGAAAAAAAGCCTCCTGACTTGAAAGAGCTACTTCTAAGGTATCTTAGAACTGTAAGATTCTTCAAAACAACTTGAAAGTCACAGGGGCAACAAATAATAACTTGGGTTTACCTGAAAGAGTGCAGAAATTACTTAGGCCTCTGGGCGTCGCTGTTGACCACCTAAGAAGGAAGCCTGTGAGACATCCACTCCAACATTACGGCTCGCATAACACAAAGGGCTGGGCGTTTGGCCCGCAAGCTTCGGGACGGCAAAAAATTAAGTCCAGCAGCCCACTACTTCTCTCCACAGTTGCCTGGGTCCCGTGAATGCTTGTCACCTCAGACCCTGAGGAATAAAGATTGGAATCCCGGCCTGCATGCTGGAAGTTGCCTGGGAGAAAAGACTGCAGCTCAAGAAATGGCGGCTCTGCTAAAGTTGCCAAACCGCGGAAGGCTTGTCCTGCTGTGCCTTCTTTTGGCGACCCTGTGGGAGGCTGGAGCTGGGCAGATGCACTATTCTGTGCCAGAAGAGATCGAGAAGGGCTCATTCGTGGGCAACATCGCTAAGGACTTGGGGCTGGAGCCTCAGGAGTTGGCGGAGCGCGGAGTCCGCATCGTCTCCAGAGGTAGGACGCAGCTCTTTGCTCTGAACCCGCGAAGCGGCAGCTTGGTCACTGCGGGCAGGATAGACCGGGAGGAGCTCTGCGCTCAGAGCGCGCGGTGTCTGCTGAGTTTCAACATACTCCGGGAAGATAAATTGAGTATTTACTCAGTAGAGGTGGAAATAACAGATATTAACGATAATGCCCCTCGCTTTGTAGTAGAGGAACTGGAGCTAAAAATCAGTGAAATGACTACACCAGGATTCCGGATCCCTCTGAAGAGCTCGCATGATGCAGACGTCGGAGAGAACACCCTCCAAAGGTACGAACTTAATTCAAATGACCACTTCTCCCTGGACGTGCGAAGCGGAAAAGATGGGAATAAGTATCCGGAGCTGGTGCTGGAACGCGCCCTTGACCGTGAAGAAGAGGCTGTTCACCATCTCGTTCTTGTGGCTTTGGACGGGGGCGACCCTGTCAGATCTGGCACCTCCCGCATCCGCGTGATGGTCCTGGATGCGAACGACAACGCGCCTGTTTTTACACAGCCCGAGTACCATGTAAATGTTCCAGAGAATACGCCCGTAGGCACCCGGATACTCACAGTGACAGCCACTGATGCAGATGAGGGATACAACGCTCAAGTGGCATATTTTCTGGAGAAAAATCCTGAAGAAACCTCAGAGGTATTTGAGCTTAAGTCATCATCTGGAGAAATAACGATCACAAAAAGCCTAGATTATGAGGATGCCAAATTCCATGAAATTGATATTGAAGCTCAGGATGGTCCAGGCCTTCTGACCAGAACGAAGGTCATTGTCGCTGTTCTCGACGTAAATGACAATCCCCCAGAATTTTACATGACGTCTGCTACCAGCTCAGTTCCTGAAGACTCTCCTCCAGGAACCATAATTGCACTTTTCAATGTACATGACAGAGACTCTGGGCAGAATGCATTTATCACATGTTCACTCCCGGAGAACCTTCCTTTCAAATTAGAAAGGTCAGTGGACAATTACCACCGACTGGTTACAACCAGAGTCCTTGACAGGGAACAGTTTTCTTTATACAACATCACTGTGATCGCCAAAGATGGAGGGAACCCACCTCTGTCCACAGATGCTCACATTTTGCTGCAGGTGACAGACATCAACGACAACCCTCCCACCTTTCCCCACACATCCTACTCTGCCTACCTTCCAGAAAACAACCCCAGAGGTGCCTCCATCTTTTCCATGATGGCGCATGACCCTGACAGTGATGACAACGCCCATGTAACCTATAACTTGGCTGAGGACATCGTTCAGGGGGCACCTCTGTCTTCCTACATCTCCATCAACTCTGACACTGGCATCCTCTACGCGCTGCGTTCCTTTGACTATGAGCAATTCCATGAACTGCAGCTGTGGGTGACAGCGCATGACAGTGGGAACCCACCGCTCAGAAGCAACGTGTCACTGAGCATATTCGTGCTGGACCAGAACGACAACGTGCCGGAAATTCTGTACCCCGCCCTCCCTACCGACGGTTCCACGGGTGTAGAGCTGGCACCCCGCTCTGCAGAGCCTGGCTACCTGGTGACCAAGGTGGTGGCTGTGGACAGAGACTCAGGCCAGAACGCCTGGCTGTCCTACCGCCTGCTCAAGGCCAGCGAGCCGGGACTCTTCGCGGTAGGGCTGCACACGGGCGAGGTGCGCACAGCGCGGGCCCTGCTGGACAGAGACGCGCTCAAGCAGAGCCTGGTGGTGGCGGTCCAGGACCACGGCCAGCCACCTCTTTCGGCCACGGTCACGCTCACCGTGGCAGTGGCGGACAGCATCCCCGAGGCCCTGGCCGACTTGGGCAGCATCAGGACCTCTGCCAACCCCGACGACTCAGGTCTCACACTCTACCTGGTGGTGGCGGTGGCTGCCGTCTCCTGCGTCTTCCTCGCCTTTGTCATTGTGCTGCTGGCGTTCAGGCTGAGGCGCTGGCACACGTCGCGCCTGCTCCAGGCTTCAGGAGGCGGGTTAGCGGGTGTGCCCGCCTCTCAGTTTGTGGGCGTGGACGGGGTGCGGGCTTTCCTGCAGGCCTATTCCCACGAGGCCTGGCTCACCGCGGACTCGCGGGGGAGTCACGTGATCTTCCCGCAGCCCAACTACGCGGACACGCTCATCAGCCAGGAGAGCTGTGAGAAAAAGGATTTTCTTTCAGAACCTCAACTTATACCTGAAGACAAAGAAGAAACTTTTTCTCAGGTAAATTCTCTTCGTAATATACCTGTGAGCTACTTTGCTAAAAGAAATAAATTTACCTAATTACTTAGCCGTCTCCACAGTTTACCATACCTTTTCTATTTCCCATATTTCTTTGTGGATATATTCAATTTTTAGGAAATTAGTCCTGGTGAATTATTTCTTTCTAGTTCTAAGTGTTCACACAATGTAAACAGGAAGAGGAGCTAGAATCATTGCGTCATGATTATAAATCAGGAGTTAGTAAGTGAAGGTGATATTTAGGTTATCAAAAGAGCACTGCCTGAGGAACTGGCTTCTCATACTTCTTTCTTGTCCCTGAGGAAACCGTCTCATGCACGTGGATCAACAATTCTTTCCTTCTTAGAAATATAAATGTTGACTTTTATGTTTCCCCAGATGCCTCCCTCCTTTAAAATTTAAGGCTTTTATGTTTATTTATATTTGTTTATGAATAATGAAATACTTTAGTTGGTTGTTTTCTTCTCACTCAGTCTTAATATTTTTCTTCAGTTTGGCAGTGAGATTCTTCATTTTTCTTGATTTGCATGATCTTCCCTATTAAAAGATGCAAATTTAGAAATATATATACTTCACCGTGTTTCAGGAGGGTATGTCATGGAATCTCTGTTTAGTTAAAAATCTCATTAGCCTCTAAAGTAGCTCTGTGTTCCTTTAAGAAGTGATTGAGTTATCATTTGCTCTATAATACGTGGTTTGTATAACAGTGAAGATGTTTCTATTCCGTGTTACTTTTTTAAAAAAATAAATTTATTTATTTATTTTTGGCTACGTTGGGTCTTCGTTGCTGCACGTGGGCTTTCTCTAGTTGCAGCAAGCAGGGGCTACTCTTCATTGTGGTGCGTGGGCTTCTCATTGCGATGGCTTCACTTGTTGCAGAGCATGGCCTCTAGGTGCACGGGCTTCAGTAGTTGTGGCTTGCGGGCTCTAGAGCGCAGGCTCAGTAGTTGTGACACACGGGCTTAGTTGCTCCATGGCATGTGGAATCTTTCCAGACCAGGACTCGAACCGTGTCCCCTGCATTAGCAGGCGTATTCTTAACCACTGCACCGGCAGGGATGTCCCCCCCTCCCCGTTACTTTTATTTTCTCTCATATGTGCAAACCACATTGCCTTTTTATCTTTAAAAATAATATATATCCTCAAGGGATTCAGAGACCATATCAAATTATTGCCCCTAAAGGTTCTCCTTTTACATTTCTCTTCTCAAAGTTTCCTACTCACAGCAGCTGTTAAAAATGTTTCCAATTCCTCAACCAACATAAGTCCCCCTTACAACCAAGTTTACCTTCCCCATTCCTCTTCCCATGTTGGCTTTTAGTATGTTAGTTATATATTTAATAACAGAGAACAAAAATTATACTAATATATAAATGGGATCATCTTTTATTTGGAAATAATCATGTACTAAGTCATGTATATAATGGTATTGTCATTCTTTAAGGTGCTGTGATTCTTTATTGTTTAAGGGCATTGGAGGGAGAATTGATCTGAAACAATGCATTCCATTGTCTTACTACTGTTACATAATATTCTTTGAGATAAATTTGGAACTCACTGTGGAATAATATGTCATAACATTTTGCAGGTAAATAGAAGTATGAACTGAGGAAAATTGAATACAAAGTTCCTTCTAGTGCTTATAGTAACACTTCCTGAAAATAAATGCCTTATACATAGGTATATAATGCATCATGATTGAAGTGACAAATGAATTCCTATTTCTGTGCTTGGAGAGGAAAACAAATACAGGAAAAGGGTTTCTGGCATATAAAACAAAACTTTATCTCCACTAGTTTCAGTTTTTCAGTCCTTAAAAACATCTTCATACTCTAGATTTAGGCAAAGTGGACGACTTTCAGTACCCTGAAGTTCTGTGGTTTCTCTCTCACATCTAAGCATTCCCATGCTCTCCTCTCTCACATCCAGGCCTTATCCCTGATCCACTTGTCTCATGCTTCTTGGGGAAGCCTTTGCTAACCTCCAAGGCCAGGTTGGAGGCCCTCCCATTGCCCTTGGCTTCTCCCATTATGGTAGTTATCTCAATGCACTGTAATTCCTTGTTTGCTTTAATATCCTTATAACTCTGTGAGGGAAGTGGCTGTGTTCATATTGTTCACCTTAAATCCCCAGGTTTTGTCGTACACTTAATTATATATATGTTTAATGAATGGGTTAAATGGAAAATATTGAAACCAAGATATCAGGCTATCAAGGACAAATTTCAAGAGGCATGCCCTATAAATATGGCTGATATTTCTGTGAGGTTCTTAAACTTTGTCTGAACATTTCAAAACAGTAACTTCAGCATGTTTGAAGCAATATTAGTGATCTTAAGATTAGCTCATGGCTTCCCAAGGAAGATAACTTGAAGTCACATCCTTTAACATATAGCGGTTCAGTTATGTGAAATAAAGACTGATCCCATTACCTCTGATAAAAAGAATTTCAGGTGCTGAGAAACAGAAAGTCTGGCTTGGGTTTGTCTAAGAGGGTGCAGTAAACGGTTATGCCTCTGAGCGTCGCTGTTCACCACTCAAGGAGGAAAACGCCACTGAAGAGCTAATCCATTTCCTTGTTTCCAAAGAGCAAAGAACCAGCAAATCGCATTTACAAGATCCGAGGCTGCTCCAAAGCTCACCCTTTCAGTCAGCCAGCTCCGTAACCTATAAATTAGGCCCACGAAAGGGTTACTTCCTTGAGAAAATAAGACTGAAGTCCGTCGTGAGAAATTGGTACCCAATTCAGAGAAAATAATTCACCAAAAAGGAAATGACCAATTACCTGAAATTCAGAAATGGCGGAGGACTGGCCCTGCTGTACGCGCTTCTGGGGACGCTGTGCAAGACCGGATGCGGGCAGATCCGCTATTCGGTGCCAGAGGAGCTGGAGAAAGGCTCCTTCGTGGGCAACATCGCCAAGGACCTGGAGCTGGAGCCCCAGGAGCTGGCGGAGCGGGGAGTCCGCATCGTCTCCAGAGGTAGGACGCAGCTCTTTGCTCTGAACCCGCGAAGCGGCAGCTTGGTCACTGCGGGCAGGATAGACCGGGAGGAGCTCTGCGCTCAGAGCGCGCGGTGTCTGGTGAGTTTTAACATCCTGGTTGAAGACAAATTGAAAATTTTTGAAGTAGAAATAGAAATTAAAGACCTTAATGACAATGCTCCTGATTTTCTAACAGAGGAATTGGAAATAAAAATTGGTGAACTAACGGTTCCAGGAACTCGATTTCCACTTAAGACTGCATTTGACCCAGATGTGGGCATGAATTCTCTGCTGAACTATCAGCTCAGCCCCAATGACTACTTCTCCCTGGCTGTGAAGAGTGTCTCTGATGGGGCCAAGTACCCAGAGCTGGTGCTGCAGCAGGCTCTTGACCGTGAGGAAAAGAAAGTTCACCAGCTTGTCCTAATTGCTTCTGATGGTGGCGACCCTGTTCATTCTAGCAACTTGTGCATCCAAGTGATAGTGCTGGATGCAAATGACAATCCACCAGTATTTACTCAGTCTGAATATCGAGTAAGTGTTCAGGAGAACTTGCCGGTAGGCACCTGGCTGCTCACGGTGAATGCCACTGACCCTGACGAGGGATTTAATGCTCAAGTATCCTATGTACTAGATAAAATGCCTGGGAGAATCGCTCAGATTTTTTATCTCAACTCAGTGACTGGGGATTTATCAATATCACAAAGCCTAGATTATGAGGATGCTACTTTCTATGAAATTAAAATTGAAGCACAAGATGGACTAGGTCTCCTTTCAAAAGCTAAGATTCTGGTCACAGTTCTGGATGTGAATGACAATGCCCCGGAAATTACGATTACTTCTCTCACAGAATCAGTCCCAGAAGAGGCTACTGCTGGAAGGGAAATTGCCCTTATCAACGTGCATGATCGGGATTCCGGGCAAAATGGGCAAGTCACAGTTTTTGTTCTGGGAAATATGCCATTTAATTTAGAAAAATCAATAAACCGATATTACCGCTTAGTGACAGCCAGATGCCTGGACCGTGAGCAGGTGTCCGAATATAACATCACTCTGAGAGCTACAGATTGGGGAAGTCCGCCGCTGTCCACAGACACACACATCACCCTGCATGTGGCAGACATCAATGACAACCCACCTGCTTTCACTCATGCCTCCTATTCTGCCTACATTCCTGAAAACAACCCCAGGGGAGCCTCCATCTTTTCTGTGACTGCCCAGGACCCTGACAGCATCGAGAACGCCCACATCACCTATGCACTGACTGAGGATGCCTTCCAGGGGGCACCTCTCTCCACCTACATCTCCATAAACTCGGACACCGGAGTCCTGTATGCCTTGTGCTCCTTCGACTATGAGCAGGTTAGAGACCTGCAGCTACTTGTGACAGCCAGCGACAGCGGGGACCCTCCACTCAGCAGCAACGTGTCTCTAAGCATACTCGTGCTGGACCAGAATGACAATGCACCTGAAATCCTATACCCCACCCTCCCCACCGATGGTTCTACTGGTGTAGAGCTGGCACCCCGCTCTGCAGAGCCCGGCTACCTGGTGACCAAGGTGGTGGCTGTGGACAGAGACTCAGGCCAGAACGCCTGGCTGTCCTACCGCCTGCTCAAGGCCAGCGAGCCGGGACTCTTCGCGGTGGGGCTGCACACGGGCGAGGTGCGCACAGCGCGGGCCCTGCTGGACAGAGACGCGCTCAAGCAGAGCCTGGTGGTGGCCGTCCAGGACCACGGCCAGCCCCCTCTCTCCGCCACAGTCACACTCACGGTGGTCGTGGCTGACAGCATCCCAGACGTCCTGACTGACCTAGGCAGCCTGAAGCCCTCAGCGGACCCTAATGACTCGGGTCTTACGCTCTACCTAGTGGTGGCGGTGGCCGCGGTCTCCTGCGTCTTCCTCGCATTTATCATCGCGCTGCTGGCGCTCAGACTGCGGCGCTGGCACATGTCGCATCTGCTCCAGGCTTCAGGCAGCAGGTTGGCCAGCGTGCCCGCCTCCCACTTTGTGGGTGTGGACGGGGTGCGGGCTTTCCTGCAGACCTATTCTCACGAGGTCTCGCTCACCGCGGACTCGCGGGGGAGTCACGTGATCTTCCCGCAGCCCAACTACGCGGACACGCTCATCAGCCAGGAGAGCTGTGAGAAAAGCGAGCCTCTCCTGATATCTCAAGATTTACTTGAAATGAAAGGAGCTCCCAAGCAATTTCAGGTGAGCTTATTTCTTTTTGAACATTATAAAGAACAGTTGTGCCAGTGTGGTTATTATAAAGCTTTAACACACATTTATTTGAAAATAAAGCAATGTGGTCGTCATTGATTCTTTTGTTTAAATATATGTTCCTCTCTTCTTCTGGGATTGTGGTGGGGCTGCACTTGCTGATCTGGTATGGCTGAGTGGGCCTAGTAAATAGTTCTGACCAATGCATTGTAAATGGAAGTATGTGAATTTCTTCCGAAACGAAGTTTTAGTTGCCATTGTAAGAATTACCAGATTTCTAACTTACTCTTTGAAATTGTGACTGTGCCATCTATCTGGGTCCTTGAATAACTACAGTGACAGAAGAGCCCTGTGGTGGACTCAACATTGATCTGTATACCTGCGATAAGTAGACTTTTTTCATTTTAAATCATTGTGATGAAGTTTGTCACTCCAGCCTACCTAATCTATCCTGGTAAACAGGCCTATATATATATATAAAGCATATATATATATTATATATATATATAAACATGGTATTTTAGGCTATAATAATATGATGCT